GGCTTCGGGAATCGTACCTTCTTAGGTTCCTACAAAGCCCCTGCTGTCTTAAATCACTATTTGCGTGCTTAGCTCATAGCAAGGCATAAAAAAACATTCCTTGAAGGGATGGTTGGATGGATGGATGGATGGATACTATCGTCCCATTTTATGGATGAGTAAGGGGCACCCAGCTAGACGAACTGAATTGCCCAAAGCCAATCTGCAGTAGCCTCCGTGCACGGCGCGGAGGCAGCGAACCACAACTCCCAGAAGGCAGCGGTGCTGCGCACGGGCCTTCCCGAGGCTTCTTTGCCCCATGGGTTGTTGGGAAATGCAGTCTTCTTGCGGGTACTGCGTGCCACCCGGTTCCCGTCTCCCCTCAGGCGTGGCCGTGTTTACGGGGGCGCTGATCTACGCCATTCACGCGGAGGAGATCCTGGCGGAGCGCCCGGCGGGGGGCAGCTTCGGTTACTGCTTCGCCCTGGCTTGGGTGGCCTTCCCCCTCGCCCTGGCCAGCGGCGTCATCTACATCCACCTGCGGAAGCGGGAGTGAGGGCCCCGCGTCGCCCTGCAGCCCCCTGCCCGCTCCCGGACCCTCGGTCTCACCCCGAAGCCCCGGCCCCGCCGCGTCCTCCAGAAAATAAAACCAATAAACCGTTTAACCGCCCGCTCTGTCTGCTTCCTTCCTTCCTTCCTTCCTTCCTGCCTCCTCCAGGAACCCAGGTCGCTCACTTCTGAGGTCTCCAAAACCGGGGACAGCCGCTCCAGCAGCAGCCTTCGGAATGCACAGCTCCGGGCCTCCCTTCTAAAGCAAGACACAGGGGCCCGGTGTCCCAGCCGCCTTTCCCCTTACACAGACCGGGGGCCCTGGGCCCTCCCGTCCCAGGATTCCTCCTGAGTCTAGACTTCTAGGCACTTGTGGGGAAGAACCAAGACTGTGGGTTTCCTGTCCTCTTTCCTTGTACAAGGGTGTCTTTCTCTCAACCAGGCAGGATGTGTGTTGTTCTAGATTGTTGCCCCCC